ACACTTGCATAGGCAAAGGTGCTGCCTTTTACATGTGACATAAAATCATGGTCTATTCTGCCATTTCAGGTAGTGGCTGACCAACCCTTTGTGAATCTGTCTGCTTATAATAATAATAATCCTTACATTTGATATAGTGCCTTATCATGTCTTTGAGACGTCTCAAGTGCTTCACAGAATATACTGTAAAGTGAATTGACTGTATATTTTGTGGGCGAAACACGGCAGCCAATTGCGCACAGCAGTTTCCCACAAACAGTTGTGGATTGTGTGACCAATTTTTTTTTTTTTGGAAGGATTATTATCCCCAGAAAAGCAATCCACTAATCGACTAACAAGTGAGTTTCTACTTACTGCTAGGTAAACAGAGGTTCCTCCAGATACCTGGTACCTCCTCCAGTACCAACTCCAGGTCAGTCGATGTTCTATCAGCTTGTCTGGCAGACACCAGGGCCTGGATGAGTGTAAACTTCCTGCAGTTGAATGTGGACAATACGGAAGCCATACCCTTCGGCTCCCGTCAGTGTCTTCACTCCTGCAGATCTAAACTACCCAACCTACCTGGACTCTCCCTCAGACTCACCGAACTAGTGCGCAATCTAGGCATCCGGTTCAATCCCCAGCTGTCTTTCCTCCCCCACATCCGTTCCCTGACCTGGACTGCCTTCCTCCACCTCCTCCACATTGCCCGCCTCCGACCATACCTTACCTCAAATGCAGCCGAAACCCTCGTGTATGCATTTATCACCGCCTGCCTGGATTACTCAAATGCACTCCTCGCCGGTCTCCCCAGCTCCACCATTCAAAAATTCCAGCTCATTCAGAACTCTGCCACCTGCATACTGACCCGGACCAAACTCCGTATCCACATCTTACCAGTTCTGGCCAGGCTCCACTGGCTCCCTATCACCAAATGGATCGACTTCAAGATCGTCACAATCATGTTCAAATCCACTGGCACCTCCCTACGTCTCTGACCTCCTCACTCCCCAATGCACCACCCGGCACCTCCGCTCGACTGACACTGGCCTCCTGCTTGTCCCTCGCACCATCCGCTCCACCATTAGAGATCGCGCTTTCAGCCACTACGCCCCACAAACTGTGGAAATACTCAACCCTCAATCCCTCCGCCTTATCCCCCTCTCCCGTTTTTCAAGTCCCAAGTGAAAACCTTCTGTTTCGAACACGCTTACAGTCACACCACCACTCTCCCCCCACCCCCCGGCTCGGACACTATCCTGCATGGAGGGTGCCATATAAGTGCAAGTTGTTGTTGTTGAGATGTTGATAAATATTCCATGGTGCTGTTCGAAAAGACAGTATTTTCTTTGGAGGTGTCCTTGCCAACAATCCCCCAGATAAATTTACTTCATGGCTGTTTGTGGCTTATTACAGTGTTTTAAATTGGCTGCAAATTTCGTACACTTTACAGAAATTCCCTATATTAGGGACTGTATCAGTTGAAAGGATTATTATTATTACTTAAGCAAGAGTTATGCAGAAAACCAGCCATCTCTAATCCGGCTGTGATTGATGCCTGTACAATTCAGTGTTATGCTTCCTATATCAGTCCTAGTTTGTTCAATCTCTGAGCATCAGGCTGACACGATTCAAATATATCACGCACAGGACCTTTGCAGCAGCACAGTTACAGAGAGACTTTCATCTTGTGTTCTGCAATACTTGGGTCTTATAAGTGACTGTAAGTGTGGAATTGAAAGTCCATTTATATAATTCTTTTTCAATTTTTATTTTTAATAATTTGATGGATAATTTGTTGACATCTCTGTCTGAGCAAACCATACTTGTGCTATTTGCCGAAAGTGACTGATGACCTTGAAGCCTGTCATTTTGTAGTTCAAAACAAAAAGTAGGAATTTGATTTCATTAATTTGTAGAAAATTCAAAAACCTGCAGATACCAATTTTTACTGATTAAAATCTCACATCTTCAAATTTTATCTATATGCCAATAACTAGAGGCAAAGGATAACAAGAAAACCAGTTTGTGTTGTAACATTTAATGTCGTTGGTTGTGCATCCATTTAAATAGAGGCATTTTTGAGGTCAGTACAACAGCTTGCATTTATATAATTCCAGGTAGGATAATGTCTCCAAACACTTCACAATGCAGGGTTAGACACTGAGCAGGTGAGAGGGAGGGGGGATGTGGAGGAAACTGATCCTAGGTGTGATTGAAGAGATAGATTTTACAGTACATGATGAGAAGCTTCTGCATTGGAAATGGCCACAAGATGGAGTAAGTTCACTTATTTTTGTAATTTGTGTAACCATGTGAAATGTGTTATTCCAAGTGCAGTTTTAATATATAAATACTGCAGGTCGCAGTGTTTCAGTTATCACTGAGCTATTCAAGGCCCTGAATTTTCCTTAGTAATATAACTACAAGTTGCACTTATGCAGTAACTTTCATATAGAATAACATCTGGAAGTCTTTGTAGAGACCGAATGAGAGCCTGAGTAGAGTGGGAATTAGGAAGACAGGTGGAAGGTGAATGAAGAAATAGTTGATAAAAGATGCTGAAATATTCTTTAGGGGGAAATAATTCCAAATTTATCTGATGGTATCCATGAGAAGAAATATATTGGTGGCATTTTCAAGAATGGAGTGAGCAGTTGGAGTGTTTTGAAGTGTGTTGATCAGATTGAAAAAGAAAAATTATTAAATATCCTGACTTGAATAAATTCCCCCTGCCTTCACACCAGCTAGTCTTCATTCTGTGAGCATGCGGTGAAGCAGCATTGGAGCAGGGATTTTGGATAGTTGGGATAAGTAAATATCTGTGCCCAAACACCAAATGCACAATAATTTAGGTGTCACACTGCTTTATTTGGTAGTGTTTTTCAAAAGGTTGTGAATTCAAGCCCCACGTCGGGACTTTGTACTCAAAGCCCAGGGTAACATTCCAGTGCAGTATTGGGGGAGTACTGCATTGTTGCAGGTGCCATCCTTCAGATGCGATTTTAAATTGTTTGCCTGTTCAAGTGGATGTCAGAGTTGCCATGGCACTATGCAAAAACTGAGGGGAGTTTCTCCCTGGTATCCTGATTAACAATCCTCTAGATAAAATTGGTCATTCACTCATGGCTGTTGTGGGACATTACTGTGCACAAATTGTCTTGTTGCATTTGTTTGCAAATACAGTCACTACACTCTTAAGATATAAAACATCACTTTGGAAGCTCAGGAGGATTAAGTCTATTTTGTTTCAAATGCTGACTTGGATGGGGCTCAAAGGTGAAAAGCATTGCAGGACGTATTGGATTCTGTTTTGTGATTCCACTTATCTACGTATACTGCAATGTATTGTTCATTTAAAAATCCCACACAAAAAAATTTAAAATCACCAAAGCTGTTTTAAAAGGAATGAACACAGAGCAGAAATTATTCTGTCAAGCCTTGTAAATGTTGCAGTATAGGCAAGTCTTTAAATCCTGCATTATTTATCATAATATCATTCTTGGTAATAGATTTGTTCTGTTTTGTTTAGGTTTCCCTGCTTGTTTCTCCACTCTAGCCCTTGAAGCTGTAAGCTATAATCAATTTTATCATGTTAGAGCTGTGAACTCCAAGGCAATATCAGTCAATCATTTATAGTCTTATTTCAGGCTTGGTGACCAAAAAGAACATACAGTATACACAACCTGCAACATATTTTAACTGCCTTTATATGTGAATAAGTAATGCCTTGATTTGTGATGCCAAAGCCTAACCCATCTTAAACTTCAATCAATCTGAAATGTATCCACAGTTATTCCGTTTGTAATCACATATGCCTCTTATCAATCAGTTTTCGTGCTGTTGAAACTGTCAAACAATATAAGGATCATTTTAAAAAAAAGCTTTTTTGCAGCAAAGCATTTTAGAATTTTAGGACAAGTGTAACCTGACTAACATGCAGGTTGATGACCATTCTCACTACAGAAAAACTTGCATAAGTCTGATCTGTATGAATCATAAAATCGTACATCCACCAAAGTCCCATTCAATTTTGTATTAAATCCACTTAAATTTACATGCACTAATCATATTAACCACCGCGTAACTTGTAACATCACAGCTGCACTTGATGCTACCACACTTACCAGCAGCCAGGTCAAAACTTTGTTATCTGTGACTGTCTCAAACTGAACACCACATGTGCACACGCCACATAACCCTCTCCACGCCTTCCTCCCAGGGGCATAACATCGACGATCAATGTTATTGCACACAGTAGCGGGGGGGTTGAGAGAGGAAAGTGAAAACGTTACCAACCGCCACCAGAAAGTGAACCACCTCGTGGCACGTCTGGGAGAGCGGCCGTTCCCTCTGCCAGATAGTGAGCCACGTGGCTGATTGAGAGAGAGAGATAAAGGGGGGAGATAAAACGAAAAGGATTGCGGGAGGGAGAGAGGGCGAGAGAGAGAGCATGAGGCAGAGAAGGAGTGAGAGAAACAGCGAGTGAGAGAGGGGAAGTGAGAGCAGTGTTTCGCGGTTCTCTTAACAGATCATCCTGCCCTCAAAAGGTTAGACCATCCTGCTCCATGGAAACAATCTTTGTAACAGTTCATATTCTAATAAAACAGTTCTGTCTGTAACCAGTTTGGTTATGCCATTCATTGTACAGTACATGTTTTCTGTGTATGAGGTGCATTGCTGTGCAGTATCGTATATGGAAAGACTTCTGTATTTATGTGTTAGTTATATCAAATATCAAATCTGACTTATACATAACTTTACATAAGTCACATATGATGCAATTTATGCAAGTTTCACATAATTCATACTTTGCATAAGTCATATTAAATTATGGTCCCAACTGATATGACTTACGTGAATTTTTCTGTATAGGGGATTATTTTAAAAATCTCATTCCCAAAAAAGTTGAACACTAGTGTATTGAACACTACTAGTACATTGAATATAAACTTGGATTTTCCCCAAAACAAACCAACATGCTTCAACTAATTGTTTTTTCTCCCACTTTCTCCTCGAAGGTCACCCTCCACATTGAGCCGTACAAAGGTCGAGATGGTAATAGTTTGTATGGTAATATCAAGTATATCATAGACAAGTGAGTTTCTTTAAATCTGCAATCATTATAGTCGAATTATTAATTATCCATGTATAGCAATTCTCTCACACTTAATTTTAATGAGCAACCTTAAAACAATTAGAATAACATTTGAGTAAAATTCTAAGGGACAACAATGGATTTGATATCATGCCTTATTGCTTCATTGAGATGTCTCAAAGCGCTTTACAGAATATACTGTAAAGTGAACTCATATAGTCTAAACAGACACTCTAGTGGATTGATGGGGAAGCATTTTTGGAGGTGCTGCCCTTCAAATGTCGAGGACCCATCTGCCTGTGCAAGTGGACATTAAAGATCCTATGTCAATGTTCACTCCACCTCATCAAACCAGTCAGGAACCTGGGCGTCTTGTTCAACCCTCAACTATGCTTTCTCCCCCACATCCGTCCCATGACCTGCTCTGCCTTCCCCCACCTCCGCAACATTACCCGACTCTGCTACAGCCTCACCCCTCAGGATTCCAAAGCCCTCATACATGGATTTCATTACAATCAGGCTCGATGATGCCTTTGCCCTGCTTGTCGGCCTTTCCAACTTTTCTCTTCACAAGCTGCAGATCATTCAGAACTCTGCAGTTCGTGTCTTCTCCCCCACCAGACTCCATGACCCCATCACACCCACCCTCGCCCGGCTGCACTGGTTCCCCATGTCTCATAGGATAGAGTTCAAAATTCTCGTCCTCACCTTCAAGGCCTTCCATGGCCTTGCCCTCGCCGACCTGCTAACGCCATATCAACCTGTCCGCTCCCTCCGCTCAGCAGGCTCCAGCCTGCTCCATGTCCTCCGCCCGGCTCATCCCACTGTCAGCGGTCAGGCCTTCAGCCTCTCTGCCCCCACCTTCTGGAACTCCATCCCACATTCCCTTCACCTCACTCCCTCCCTTCCCTCCTTCAAGGCACACCTCAAGACCCTCTTCAACAGTGCCTTTGGCTGCCCGCCACCCTCCCTGATCCCAACACCCCCCCCCCCCCCACCACTGGGTTCTAATCTCTGACTGCTTAGCGCCTTGGGACGTCCTCCCGACATGAAAGGCATAATTATTGCATGGTTCAAAATGTGATCCTTCATTTTAAGTACACATTGGAAGTATGTTCTCCACCAACTGTTGCTTTCTAAACAAATTCAGCAAAATTAAAATAATTTACAGGATTAAACTTCATCAGCAAGCTTTTCACTGCTTAAATTTTTGTTTAGATTCACTATGTATCACACCTTTTTTGCCATAATTTGGAAAATCTGCTGAAGTTTGATTCTGCAAAAGTGATAGATGTGTTGTGAAAACATCCATTTTATTTTTCTTCTCCAGGTATGGGTCCCATCCTGCATTTTACAGGTATAAAACAAGCACAGGAAGAAATCTTCCTATGTTCTACATTTATGACTCATATTTAACAAGTCCAGTATCTTGGGCCACCCTTTTTTCTGCAACTGGATCAAGCACCCTCCGAAACAGTCAATATGATGGACTCTTCATTGCTCTACTTGTCGAAGAAAAGCATAAAAATGAAATTCTTCAGGCTGGATTTGATGGAATGTACACATACTTTGCAACAAATGGATTTTCCTATGGTTCTTCTCATCATAATTGGCAGACAATCAAAGATTTTTGTGGTGGTAATAATCTTATGTTTATTCCAAGTGTAGGACCAGGCTACATAGACACAAACATAAGGGCTTGGAACAACCACAATACCAGGAACCGTGTCAATGGCAAATACTATGAGACTGCCTTAAATACTGCCCTTCTGGTGCGTCCAGAAATTATCACTATAACCTCTTTCAATGAGTGGCATGAAGGAACTCAGATTGAAAAAGCAGTGCCCAGAAAGTCAGGCCAGTTAACTTATCTTGATTATCTGCCTCATAAACCAGATGCCTATTTAGAGCTGACTCGTAAGTGGGCAGAAAAGTTTCAGCAAGAGAAAGAGCAGTGGTTGATGTGATTCTGTTTTTGTCTTTGATTACGATTTGAGGAATTGCTCGATTATTGACACCGACCGTCACGTTTTTGAGAGAGACCAGCCAGAAATTACCAGAGTGCATCTTCTGGTGCACCAGAAATTATTACCATAACATCTTCCAATGAGTGGCATGAAGGATCTTTGTTTGCTTCTCATATGTTTGTTGCTTATCATATGGCTTCAGAATAGTGAGTCAGAAATGATGGTATAATATAAAGAATCTTTGGGTGTAAATGAGTTATAAAGCAGCATTTAGAGACTTGGTGCATTGTGAAAGGATGCATCATCTGTTTGAATAATGAGGTTTTGCAAACTGCTTTTTGATTTGTCCTGTTTTTCTGCCCTTTTTTCCTGCTTTTGAGTGTCTTGATTTACCTTGAATAAATTTCTCCAACTAGCAGCCCCTTGTTAGCTTACCCAAATGGCTATTCTTCATGCAACTCGAAGCAGTGAATGTTGCCAGGCTGTTCAACAAATCGGAGTGGGAACAGAATCACTGCAGCAACAACAACAAGATTACATTTGTAAAGCGCCTTTCACATCAGGAGGTGCAGACCTCAATCCTGTCTTCACTTTGTGCATCTCCAGTATAGGTCACTATTCAATCACGAGGTCAGCCCTACTGTTTTTTTTTCTTTTCGGAAGTATATAGAAGCCAATTGTGATATCCCAGTAAAGATTAACTTTCTCAACATGTAACAGGGACCCCAGTTCAGTCCTTTCAGTCTGTGTTGTTCATCAGATCCATTTTTTCAATGAGCCATTGAGTGTGATTTTACTTTTCTAGATGAGTACGGTTTAAATTTTTTTGGAATTGCTCAAGTTTGGATTATTGAAAAAATGTTATGGCACTCTATACTGAGTAGCATCTAAACTTGCTTTAGTGGCATTGATCCTTCCCTGCTGTTCAGTGACAGAAAGTAAGAGAATCCTATTGAGGCAGATTTATCCAGCCATCTATAAGATACCTGAAAAGGTTCTTTAAAGAATGGACCCTCTGATTTCAACAGATGTAATATTTCTGTAGTTTCTCTTCTTCCCCCACACCTTTAGAGAAATGTCTGGACTCCAGTTGACAGCTGGTACAGTGGTTGAAATTGAGAGCTCACCATGTAGGTAGAGGTGGACACAGATGTATGATGAGATTAATGGAGCATTCATGAAAATTAATACTTTCTTGTAGAATGGTTTTATGATAGGGATGATATTTTATTCACTGATGTCAACACAATTCTGAAGGCTAAAAAACCCTTCCATTTTTTTCTTCAGTCCTTTTGAAGAGGTCAGTAGAATCAAATATTTAAGTCCAATTATGTGAAGTAGAGACTTATTTACTGTATTAATGTAATAACAATATGAGCCTGCAATGTATGGATTTTAGGAACTAACACCGTTTATTATCTGTTGTTCTCCTGTGGATTTTTTTTAGTTGATTGAGTGATGAATAAGTATCAGACTGAACAGAGCGTTTTGAGTGTATTTTTATTTAACGTTTGGATGAAGTAATGAGTTCTCAGGACTTTTAACTTTAGGGTCTATGTGTTGAAATGAGCAGTCATGATTAACCCTTGTTTGTAAAATAACTGGTAGAACTGCATAGTCACATGGGTGAGCTGCACTGCTCAAATATATATGTCTTAAGAGACAAGTTCCAAGTCTTTTTTAAGTATTGTTTTTGAATTTTCTGTGACTTGTACTGATGTAGTTAATTGTTTTACTTTACAATTTTAATTAGCATTAAGTTAGTGATACCACCAACTGTGCAAAAGATGCACAGTTTATATTTGCTATTTGAGACTTCAATTAAAAGACCCAAGTTGATACCCATAATTGATCCTTAAACTTTGTTTCCAACATTGGTATCTAATGTACAGCAATTTCTAACGTGATTGTTTTGTAAGAAATCTGAGTGGCTATTCCTTCAAGTAACCATTCGCTCTTCACATTGACCAATTTAATTTCCCTCTAGAAGTAGGCTGTGTGAAATTAGATTCGCTGTGAATCAGCTTGATTTACTTATTAAGGAATCCCATTAAAAATCTATGTGATTTTGACTCCAATCCCTCTGAACTAAGATTTCAGGTGTATTTTAATGAAGCAGAGAAGTATTATTTCTGTTCTTACTAATTCCATTAATAAATTGTTTTGTAGGTTTGACCAGAGTGGATACATAATATATTGTTTGTTTGTGGAAAATAATCCATAGGGTTTGAGTTGCATTTTTTAAATGTTTTTCATTTTTTAGAACTTGTCTAGCAATGATTGATTTTTATCTTGAATGCTACACTTGAAACTATCCAACTATCCCATGAATATTGTAACTGGTAGTTTTCTTTTTTCAATAGTTGTTGAACTTTCCTCCGGAAGACTCTTCAGATTTCTTAATAAATAGAGTAATAGTTCTCAATTATTAATTGTGGTGAATGAATAACCACATTATTATCCTTTTCCTCTTGAAGAATTACGTTAATTGCTTTGCTAGGTATCTGTAATATAGAAAGCAAGAATTGTTAAAGAAATTTCTTAATGCCAAAGTTCCTAGATGCTATCTGTGCTAGTTCAGTTCGGTAATAACCAGAACCTCTAATGTACAGCTTTGTGTGTTTATTTGTAGTAGAAATAATTTTAGACCAAACTGCTAAGATGGTGTGTGATACATGTGTATTTCTTTGTTATGTGGGCTGTGAGGCAAGTGGGAATTGCCTCATGGCTTCCGATTTTGAATTGGACACAGAATATACAAGGAGGTCAATGATAAGGCCATAATATTCACATCACTGAATCAAGACATAACATTGGTTTAATTTCCCCTCCTTCCCCACTCACTCACCTACAATTTTTCTTTATCACCTATATTGGTGGTAAAGTTTGGACAATAATGGCCCTCCACTGCCTCGTTCAATGACGTTCCTTTTGGACCATGATAATTGGCAGGCTGTTTGATTTAGCAAGGGAGGGGCAATTGTATGAAAATCTAATCTTGTATATAACTGATTTCCAAGAACATAACTTACATAACTTTGCACTGGATAGCATTTAGAACCAAGAACTTTGTGGGACTTTGTTCTTTCCAAATTTAAAGACTTTAGTCTATTTATCTCGGTCCCACTTCCTTTTTAGTCAGATAGGTGTGAAATCAATGCAGAAATCAATCACCATGTGTGTTAAATGGAACGCTCTCCTTGGAGGGACACGCTCTGCTTACCTAGTTCCAGTTTGCAAAAGCCAAAGCTTTGGGACCCCAGAGTGTGCATTAGGAGTACTGCTGGAGTTTAACCACCTAAAACCACATAGCTTGCCATTGAAAGCACTGTCTCGCAAGCTTTCCATTGCCTGTTCTGCTAGGACCAGCCTACCCAAGGCTTTGGCCTGCCAGGTTAACAGGAGCTGAGTGGGAAGAGTTCCAGGTGACAAGCCAGTTTGACAAAGCTGTCAGCAATGCCCTGGAATATTTTAGACAAACCTGGATCTGAAACCGAACTACCTAGACCATCACAGCAGATTGACTTGATTCTGACATTCCATTGGCAAGCATGCTATCCTAGAGCCAGGTCAGCTTCAAGGAGCCTCGCTTAACTCTTCCCCAAGGAGGATAGTCAATGTCCTCACTGTTACCCTGACTAATATTACTTAACTAAATACAGACCCTGGATTAAATGTAGGACTTGTACAGTCTGATTTTATGTCCCAAAACATGGTGCATTTACTAATGGGGGAGGAAGCTAATTTCTTGTTGATAGCAACCATGACTATAAATTAAACTAATGTTCCAAAGGTACAAATTGTTGGCTATTCTGAGTGAATATAATTGCAGTACTTGTACTTGGTGAATACCGATACATTCTTTAGAATACAGCCCATGGTTTTGCTTACATTAATCATTTTCAAATCTTGTCCACAATATTGTGAGAAAACAAATTGACATCACATTCCTGGATAATATTTTAAGTAATGCTTTTGGACAGGAACGTGACAAGGTCAGTGAAACAAGTCGGTTTAAGCTGAGGCACTGTTTAGATGTCGGTTTAAAACGTTTGAACAAAATTCCGGTATACTTTTTTAATACATTGCATGGTATGATAGTATTCACATCAAAAAATTGTCTTGAAACCTGAAGGTATTGTTTCCACTGGAGTCTGATACCGTTTCCAATGGAGTTTACTGGAGTTTTATTTACTACACTTTTGTTAAAACATAACATTGCATTCATCTTGTAATTTGGAGGTTTACTGAGTTAATTGCAGGTTGTACTTGACTGAATAAAAGGGGAAGCTGTATCTTTCACTAATCAGATTAGTTGCATTTTGATTCCTTTAGAAAAGAAATTGGTCACCAGCATATATGTTGCATGTGTTTTATTAACATTTGCTCTGCTGTATTTTTCACACTGCAATAGAAATAAGACATTTTGGTTCTAATTCTGGAATATATTATGAGCATTGCAGTAACTAAAGCATAAGAAAAATTCAATTTGGGTTACAACCACTATTTTTGTGTTTTAATTTAGTTTGAAATATTGTGACTGGAGCTAATTAGATTTACAACCGGTTGAGACTACCCCTTTTGCTGGATTGTGCTGAAGTTCTAAACTTTTTAAAATGCAATATGGAATATACTAAATTTAACAAACTTTTGGAGGCAGAAAAGAGAATCTCAGCTCACACGGTTCAAATTGATCAAAATAGCATGCACAATATATATGCAAGTATTGTATCTGCTTTATATATCATTGCCTACAGCTTTCATGGATGACAATGTTCACATTATTGTCAGACTCATTTTCATTTTATGTATGAAAAGATCAAGGGTTTGTATTAGCTTTGGCTTTCTTAAAGGGACACATTCATTAAATACTGGTGATGGTTCTAGCCTTTTACAATGGAGAAAATGTGGCAAATTTAAGAATATTCAAATGCTGTTAATACTTAATGTATGTTATTTGTAGACCTGATCTTCAAGGTCTTACATTTACTATAAAGTATAGGCTTCATGTGAGAATTGTAAAATAAGATAAAACACATATTTTTACCAGTGACTGTGACTATCAGATGTTAATGAGACTGATGAATATGATTGGGAAATACAAAGTTATTGGAATATAACTCCATATTGTAGTGGTTTGAGTGATGGAGGAGCTTAATATTCACTCTGTAAAACACTTGTATCTTTCAACCAGGCGTGTTTATGGCAAGTCTCTCCCATCTGTCATTTTGGGAAGAAAAATGTAAAAGATATAGCTACAGCTCTAGTCTCCGAGGTCACTAAAGCATGTCCAGGTGTGATTTCTGGTACATATTGTCCAAAATATAATTCAGTCCTGGTTTAACTTATCACTACCACTTAAGAAGCCATGCCATCTATCATAGCAGTTTTCCTTGCAAAATACTAATAAAGCACTTT